TGTCCTATTAAGTGGCTTTGACAACAAAACTAAATTGCGACGAGGTTCATTCATTTATATAAATCGAAAGCAGACTGCGATTATACCTGGGACCACCATTTTGGTCTTCATTTTCTCTTTATTTAGGTTCTATCACTATCTCCCATATACCCTTTAAAGTTCTCTTATTTCTCTAGTTCAGTAATATCACTATCACTGTCAACCTATCCGTGCCCTCGAGGCTTCTGCCTCAAGCCTTTGATTACATATATCTTCCAGCCTCACTGACCAGGCTCATAATTGCTGTATTCTCATGCTGGATGGAAAAGTGACTTGACACTTCAGACGCTTGATGTGATATCACATCCCTTTTTCCTGGCCTCTTGCCGTTTAAATATTGATTTTTTTAATTCATTGATTCATTTCTTTTGTGTACTTAATTTAACTTACATATTAATGAGATTTTAAAGTTAACTTTCTTGATCAATGATGTTAGAGAAAATTTATACTCATTTTCACTTGCTTTCTTTTTATATATTTGATTTGATTCCTGTATTTTATGGTTCGAAACTTTCATTCTGATGATGCTCTGATGCATGTAACTAATCCATTAGCTCATCACACTTACTAGCCATTGCACATTTGACAGACCGAATAAACAATCACATGCTGGTCTAATATCAAGTCTAATATGCAGGTTAGATGTCCTACTTCAAATAATCCATCTAAATGTCATTTTACAGTGTTGGTTAAGATGCCATTCCACCATGCAAATCTCAAGTCTTAACGCATACCTTCTTCCATCCTGGTCTATTATGGGTTCTGTGCACTTATTTTATTAATATGATTATTTCACCTGAGTTAAATTTTTCATTTGTTTAAACTTCAGGATCAACTCTCCTGCACCTGAATGACTTTTATACGCTCATTAGCATCTGTTATTTAGTAGGTTTTCGAAACCACCAGTAAATCATATCTATAGGATGTGTTCACTTTATTTAGTTTAAGGTGATATGTAAAATGTCTGACCTTGAAATTCACATCTGCCTTGTGACCCATGGGTGCTCGTGGCAATGTGGCGTATTAGTTAGCGTGTCAAGATTACATGCTGCACTTTTATGGTTCGACTCCCGTTAGGGATGTTGATAAGACCTAGGCGAGGTCGAAAATGCAGTTCACCCTGGATGAGAAAACCTTTTGGCAAAATAAAGCTATGTGAAATTCAATGGAAATGCCATATCTACTCTTATCATTATGTGAAATTCCAACTTCATCATTTTAAACGAAATAGGGTGAACACATCTCATATATGCATCTTTTCGAATGCATTATCTATTCGATGAGCCACAGAGTATTCGAACAGAATAGTCTTTCGTTCTATGGATTTTCATTATTGTTTGGATCCCGTACATTAATCTACCTGTCGAGACGCTAGCTTTAGCCACCAACCGTATGCATAAGCCGCTTCCATACAGCAATGAAGTAAAACCCTATTTTTCTAATTTATATTCGTAAATGTAATTATTAATTTTTTCTGCAATTATAATTGTGAATTTTACAATTATTCCAACTTCCAATTAGAAACCTGGGTATACCTGTTCTCATGTACTTTGCTCTTTTATTTGTCCCCTTTATTTTAGGAAATTAAAGTTTTACTCTATTAAGGGATCCTTCGAAACTCAGTTTTTCTACATACATTAACATATAACTGTGGTAAGCACTCAACTTAGTCCTATATCTCTTTATACGACCTAGGATGAATGAACATCTATAAATAGTTCTGTTTCAGAATTTGCCATTCATTTACTATTATATTGCAAGTTCTATAGCATATTTGTTTTAAAATTCTGCTATATATCTTCGCAGCAATAAAGCGTCTAAACCTACTCTCATCATTCATTATTTTTCCTAACGGTAAATTATTGCTGGCCTTAGGAATTCTATACTCTTGCATGGACAACCGTGGAGATGGCTGGCGGTCATCACCGAACAAACTTATTAGCAGCTGCAGGCCGATTACGTGAAATTCGCCTCCTCCATCCAGAGCAACTAGTTTGCTATGCTGAGATGAAGGGACATCGCGAGGACGTTGGCTGCATGCTCTTTCATCCTCAGCGGCCTACTATCTTATTTTCTGGAGATGCCAAGGTTAGCTTCTTTGTTTTAATTACATTTCAGTATGGAGAGAATTTACTGTACTGTCTGATATACATAAGATATGGTATAGAATGCACTACGTTTAATTTTACTTGCAACGGATTAGTGATTTTGCCTTTAGCTACATTGGATTTATATTAACATTAGGCTTTACAGTGCAATATGTTGCTGCTATTTATGATGGCTTCTGTTATTTGCATAATTCAGGTTAGCGTTACTCTTAATATTAGAAACATAGTCAAGCCATACTATCCGTAATATTTACTCGAATTTACAGTTTGTCTTTTAGAGTCTGACTTCCTGGATAAAACGTCATGATTCCTTGTTAATATTGTTGGGAATTATGAATATCTTAGGGCTTAAGTTTTTTTCGTGTCGTTATATATACACTGTCTTCAATCTACTGAGTATCTGAAAAATTCCGAATATTGACCCTTAAAATCCTTTTTTATTTTTATTTGTTAACGGCAAAATTTGATGATATACTGGGCTTAGTTTATATAAAAATTTTTATTTTTTCCATTCCCGAGTTTCTATCTTTTACTCATTTGTTTTTTATTTACATTCCTATTTTCGCTTGTAAGTCTTTCATGGCTAAAGGCTTAACTCATACTCGCATGTTGTTTTTTGTTATTGTTATAAAATGATATATAAACTAAGTCAAAACATCTAATGACTTTTAGGCCCAAATCCTAGTCTGGGACATTGGCATTCCCTCTGCACCAGAATACAGGACTAGACATCAGCTCCTAATGCGTCTCGAATGTCCCCGGCCAAATCTGAATCCTGTTCTAAATCTTGTTTTCTTGCCAAACTATGATGCTCTTTTGGCTGGCTGTGAAGATGGTGTATTCACCTGGCTACTGAAGGACATCAAGAAGGAAAAACTCAGTCCTGAGAGGTGAGTCATATCAACTTTTCTCATGATATTTTGAAAGTAGGATTTGTTTACTGTCAGAGTCCAAATTATTGCATTTAGATAGCCAGTTAAGAATAAATATTTAATATAAATGCTTTGAATTTAGGATGTCTTGTCATATATTTAGATTGTAAATAATTTTCTACATTTTATCTATTTATTTGATTCGCCATATCCTCTATAACTGTAGCCTTTAATTATTATTTCTGCTATTCATATGCCCGAATGTATTTTCATAACATTATTATTTCCAAATATATGAAGACCAAGATGGTTTGGCCTTTTGTGTGGTTGCAGTCTCCTTTCGTTGTATAGAAGTCGTTTAACCTTGTTTTCGCAACTTGGTCATATTGGCTGGAAGACCTAGAGGAACGAATATTGAACGGAATCAATTGTATACACGATGATTTCCAGAGGTTTCGCTTGCATTTTTATCGACATCGTTAATTAGCTTTGCCATTCTTTGCACCATACTACACTTCGTCAGAAGAAAGAGTGAAATTAATGCTTTGACCAATTGTTTTCTAAACAGATGTGTTATCCGTCCTTATATCCTGGGTATTTACCTATCCTATCCTTATACAACCCCTTCATTATCACAATTTCTTACTTTTTTCTTTATATGTGGTATGATTTGCTCTTTTTAATAGATTTCATGAGACCTCCTCACACCCTACACTGGCTTTCCAACCCTCTCACCGTTGTTTAGGGAATGCTGATTTGAGTCTGCTATATTAGTCCCCAATCTACTTCCAATAGGTCCTATCAGACGACAGTGGTAATGAATGGAGAATGGTACACGCAGGAAATGAGATGTATTTTAGTCTATCGGAACACTTATCAACTTCTACGGAAGGATTTAACCATTAAGATCAATGGGACACTTAAAAATATGCTTAAGGAAATCCATAATAACGGAGAACTCGTCAAATGGTAACGAACTCTTGAATTAAAATAACACAAAACCACCGACATCCTACGGACTAGCACAGATACATAAGGAAGGAAAACCGCTAAAATTAAGAGTCAACAACAAGCATGGAGCAGCACACAAGCTAGCGAAATTCATTTGCTTGAAGCTCATGAAAGTAATTGGCAGACTTTCGAATATCGTAAAGAATTCATAGGAATTTTCCAAAGGATCCAAATAATTTGGCTGATTGAGACTGTTGGTAAGTTTCGACCTACAATCCATTTCAGCAAACATCTCACACGAGAAGGCTGTAAGCTCCCTAATTGTGATATTGGACTGAGAATCGGATACCCGGGAGGCATTGCGGATACGGAAGGAGTCGTTAACACGAATGATCAACATGACAATAAAGAGCACCTATTTTCCATTTAACGGTAGTATTTACGACCAAATATTTGGACCGCCGATTGGATCTCCATTTTCACCTCTTTTGGTAAATGTAAATTTGCAAGGAAATTCGATAAGTCTCAACCGCAACCAAGAATGCTTATGCTATACCTGGATGACTACGTTGCCCTTTGGTCGTTAGTAGGAAATATTTTAATGAATTCCTCAGCTTTATTAACTAATTTGATGAGCGAATTAAATTCACAATGGAGGTGGAGGAGGATGACTGATTATGTGCCCTGGATATTGAAGTAATGCGCTCCAACGAGCCACTCATGAGGAATATGCTG